GCTTAACTTCATCTTTGCCAATTTTGATGCCTTTGATTTCCTTTTGTTGTCTGATTGCTGATGCTAGAACTTCCAGCACTATGTTAGACAACAGCGGTGAGAGTGGACATCCCTGTCGTGTTCCTGATCTCAGGGAAAAAGCTCTCAGTTTTTCCCCATTGAGGATGATGTTAGCTGTGGGCTTTTCATAAATGGCTTTTATGATGTTTAAGTATGATCCTTCTATCCTGACTTTCTCGAGGGTTTTTATTAAGAAAGATTGCTGAATTTTGTGAAATGTCTTTTCTGCATCGATTGACAGGATCATATGGTTCTTATCTTTTCTTTTATTAATGTGATGTATCACGTTGATTGATTTGCGAATGTTGAACCAGCCCTGCAGCCCAGGAATGAATCCCACTTGATCATGGTGAATAATTCTTTTTATATGCTGTTGAGTTCGATTTGCTAGTATCTTATTGAGAATTTTTGCATCCATATTCATCAGGGATATTGGCCTGTAGTTCTCTTTTTTTTACTGGGTCTCTGTCTGGTTTAGGAATCAAAGGAATACTGGCTTCATTCAATGAGTCTGGAAGTTTTCCTTCCCTTTCTATTTTTTGGAACAGCTTGAGAAGGATAGATATTATCTCTGCTTTCAACGTCTGGTAGAACTCCCCTGGGAAGCCATCTGGTCCTGGACTCTTATTTGTTGGGAGATTTTTGATGATTCAATTTCTTCGCTGGTTATGGGTCTGTTCAAGCTTTCTATTTCCTCCTGATTGAGTTTTGGAAGTGTGTGGGTGTTTAGGAATTTGTCCATTTCTTCCAGGTTGTCCAGACTGTTGGCATAGAATTTTTCATAGTATTCCCTGATAGTTGTTTGTATCTCTGAGGGATTGGTTGTAATAATTCCATTTTCATTCATGATTTTATCTATTTGGATCATCTCCCTTTTCTTTTTGAGAAGCCTGGCTAGAGGTTTATCAATTTTGTTTATTTTTTCAAAAAACCACCTCTTGTTTTCGTTGATCTGCTCTACAGTTTTTTTAGATTCTATATTGTTTATTTCTGCTCTGATCTTTATTATTTCTCTTCTTTTGCTGGGTTTAGGCTGTCTTTGCTGTTCTGTTTCTATTTCCTTTAGGTGTGCTGTTAGATTTTGTATTTGGGGTTTTTCTTGTTTCTTGAGATAGGCCTGGATTGCAATGTATTTTCCTCTCAGGACTGCCTTTGCTGCATCCCAAAGCATTTGGATTGTTGTATTTTCATTTTCGTTTGTTTCTATATATTTTTTAATTTCTTCTCTAATTGCCTGGTTGACCCACTTATTCTTTAGTAGGGTGTTCTTTAACCTCCATGCTTTTGGAGGTTTTCCAGACTTTTTCCTGTGGTTGATTTTTAAGCTTCATAGCATTGTGGTCTGAAAGTATGCATGGTATGATTTCAATTCTTATAAACTTATGAAGGGCTGTTTTGTGACCCAGTATGTGATCTATCTTGGAGAATGTTCCATGTGCACTCGAGAACAAAGTATATTCTGTTGCTTGGGATGCAGAGTTCTAAATATATCTGTGAAGTCCATCTGATCCAATGTACCATTTGGGGCCCTTGTTTCTTTATTGACCGTGTGTCTAGATGATCTATCCATTTCTGTAAGTGGAGTGTTAAAGTCCCCTGCAATTACCACATTCTTATCAATAAGGTTGCTTATGTTTGTGAGTAATTGTTTTATATATTTGGGGGCTCCCGTATTCGGCGCATAGACATTTATAATTGTTAGCTCTTCCTGATGGATAGACCCTGTAATTATTCTATAATGCCCTTCTTCATCTCTTGTTACAGCCTTTAAAGTCTAGTTTGTCTGATATAAGTATGGCTACACCAGCTTTCTTTTGACTTCCAGTAGCATGATACATAGTTCTCCATCCCCTCACTCTCAATCTGAAGGTGTCCTAAGGTCTAAAATGAGTCTCTTGTAGACAGCAAATAGATAGGTCTTGTTTTTTCATCCATTCTGATACCCTATGTCTTTTGGTTGGTGCATTTAGTCCATTTACATTCAGTGTTATTATAGAAAGATATGGGTTTAGAGTCATTGTGATGTCTGTAGGTTTCATGCTTGTAGCAATATCGCTGGTACTTTGTCTCACAGGATCCCCCTTAGGATCTCTTGTAGGGCTGGTTTAGTGGTGACGAATTCCTTCAGTTTTTGTTTGTTTGGGAAGATCTTTATCTCTCCTTCTATTCTAAATGACAGATTTGCTGGATAAAGGATTCTTGGCTGCATATTTTTTCTGTTCATCACATGGAAGATTTCCTGCCATTCCTTTCTGGCCTGCCAAGTTTCAGTAGAGAGATCGGTCACAAGTCTTATAGGTCTCCCTTTATATGTTAGAGCACGTTTATCTCTAGCTGCTTTCAAAATTTTCTCTTTATCCTTGTATTTTGCCAGTTTCACTATGATATGTCGGGCAGAAGATCGATTCAAGTTATGTCTGAAGGGAGTTCTCTGTGCCTCTTGGATTTCAATGCCTTTTTCCTTCCCCAGATCAGGGAAGTTCTCAGCTATTATTTCTTCAAGTACACCTTCAGCACCTTTCTCTCTCTCTTCCTCCTCTGGAATACCAATTATGCATAGATTATTTCTCTTTAGTGCATCACTTAGTTCTCTAATTTTCCCCTTATACCTCTGGATTTTTTTTATCTTTTTCTCAGCTTCCTCTTTTTCCATAATTTTATCTTCTAGTTCACCTTTTCTCTCCTCTGCCTCTTCAATCTGAGCCATGGTCATTTCCATTTTATTTTGCAGCTCGTTTATAGCATTTTTTAGCTCCTCCTGACTGTTTCTTAGTCCCTTAATCTCTGTAGCAATAGATTCTCTGCTGTCCTCTATACTGTTTTCAAGCCCAGCGATTAATTTTATGACTATTATTCTAAATTCACTTTCTGTTATATTGTTTAAATCGTTTTTGATCAGTTCGTTAGCTGTTGTTATTTCCTGGAGATTCTTTTGAGAGAAATTCTTCTGTTTCATCATTTTGGATAGTCCCTAGAATGGTGCAGAACTGCAGGGCACTTCCCCTGTGCTGTCTTGAATAACTTGCGTTGGTGGGCAGGGCCACAGTCAGACCTGATGTCTGCCCCCAGCCCACCGCTGGGGCCACAGTTGGTGGCCCTTCTCTTCCCCTCTCCTAGGGGCGGGATTCACTGTGGGGTGGCATGGCCCATCTGGGCTACTTGCACACTGCCAGGCTTGTGGTGCTGGGGATCTGGCCTATTAGCTGGGGTGGATCTGCAAGGTGCACAGGGGCGGGAGGGGCAGGCTCAGCTTGCTTATCCTTCAGAGGTCTGCTTCGGGAGGGGCCCTGTGGCACCAGGAGGGAGTCGCCGGAGGGATGGATTCGCAAAAGCACAGCGTTGGGTGTTCGTGCGATGCAAGCAAGTTCTGTGTCGGGAACTGGTTCCTTTTGGGATTTTGGATGGGGGGTGGGCGAGGGAGATACCATGTCGAGCGCCTTTGTTCGTTGCCAAGGTGAGCTCTGTCGTCCGGGGCTCAACAACTCTCCCTCCCGTTGTCCTCCAGCCCTCCCGTTCTCCGAGCAGAGCTGTTAGCTTATAACCTTCCAGATGTCAAGTCCTGCTTGCTGTCAGAACACACTCCGCCCGGCCCCTCCGCTTTTGCAAACCAGACTCGGGGGCTCTGCTTGGCCGGCGGGCCGCCCCTCCGCCCCGGCTCCCTCCGGCCAGTCCATGTAGCACGCACTGCCTCACCGCCCTTCCTACCCTCTTCCGTGGGCCTCTCGTCTGCGCTTGGCTCTGGAGACTCGGTTCTGCTAGTCTTCTGGCGGTTTTCTGGGTTATTTAGGCAGGTGTAGGTGGAATCTAAGTGATCAGCAGGATGCGGTGAGCCCAGCGTCCTCCTACGCCGCCATCTTCCCAACCGCCAAATCTCCCTAGCACCATTTGTTAAAGAGACTGTCTTTTCCCCCATTGTATATTCTTACCTGCTTTGCTGTAGATTGACCATAAAAGTGTGGATGGATTTTTGGACTCTATTCTGTTCCATCGACCTATGCATCTATTTTTGTGCCAGGACCATACTGTTTTGATTACTACAGTTTGTAGTATATCTTGAAATCTAGGATTATGATACCTCCAGTTTTGTTCTTCTTTCTCAAGATTTCTTTGGCTATTTGGGGTCTTTTGTGGTTCCATATAAGTTTTAGGATTGTTCTAGTTCTCTCAAAAATGTTGTTGGTATTTTAATAGAGATTGTATTAAATCTGTAGATTGCTTTTGGTAGAATGGATATTTTAACAATATTGGGTCTAGAGAATGGACTATGTTTCCATTTGTTTGTGTCATCTTCAGTTTTTTCATCAATGTTTTATAGTTTTCAGAGTATAGAGCTTTCACCTCCTTGGTTAAGTTATTCCTAGGTATTTTATTCTTTTCGATGTAATTGTAAATGAAATGGTTTTCTTTATTTTTAAGTTTATTTATGTATTTTGAGAGAGTGTGCATGAGTGAGGGAGGGGGCAGAGGGGTAGAGAAAGACAGAATCCCAAACAGTCTCCACACTCGGTGCCGAGACCTATGCGGGGCTCAATCCCACAACCCTGGGATCACAACCTGAGCCAAAATGAAGAGTTGGATGCTCAACTGACTGAGCCACCCAGGCGTCCTTCAAAAAACAGCCTCTTAATGCAGAGAACAAACTGGCGGTTGCCAGAGGGGAGGGAGGTGGTGAGGGATGGGGTGAAATAAGATTAAGAGCACATTTATCATAATGAGCAATGGGAAATGCATAGAACTGATGAATCACTATATGTACATCTGAAATATAACACTGTATGTTAATTATAATTGAACAAGATGATAATAATAATAACAGTAACAATAACAGTAATAATGATAGAGGACACTGGAAAGCTTCCTCTCCTTGCCACTCCTTCTTAGTCCTCTGCCACTTCCCCTGCTCTCCAGTAGGCTGCCCCACCACATGGCCGTTTACTTACTTGCATGTCTGAGTTGGTGAAGCTGCAGGCAGACAGGTAGTTGGTATGCATAGCGACTGACTTCTTTTTGGCAGCCATGTTTTCATTTTTGTCAAATGTCAGTGGATACACAGAACACTTATTATCCAAACCACTAGCATGGAAAGAAAGAAGTGTCAAATGCTAATATAGGGCAATAGAATACATGTATACATTCTCATGCACATGCGCTTTTTCAAAATGTTTCCCTTTGGCAGCATCATATATTGTAAACTTTCCCCCAACTTTCACTTGGAAGATTTTCAGATGTACAGTAAAATTGAAAGAAAAATATGACAATGAACACCCAGATCCCCTGACTTATGTTTAGTAACTTTGGTTTTGCCATATTTGTAGGAGCAAATTCTGAACCATTTGAAGGGAAGTGCAGACATGACATGTTACATCTAAATACTTCAATTTGGAAATATACATCTTCTATAAAACATTCTCCTAGGTGGCCACTAAATCATTATCACGTTTAGAAAACTAACACAAATTCCCTAACACCGTGCAAGAGGCCATCTGTATTCAATCTTCCCCAATTGCCCCCAAGATCCAGGGCCCAAGCAAGGTTCAGATATTGCACTGTTTTTTCTATCTTTTTAAGATCCTTTAATTTAATTTTTTAAACGTTTATTTTTGAGAGAGAGAGAGGGAGAGAGGCAGAGACAGACGGAGATAGAATTGGAAGCAGGCTCAGGCTCTGAGCTGTCAGCACAGAGCCCAATGTGGGATTCGAACTCACGAGCTGTGAGATCATGACCTGAGCCAAAGTTGGACGTTTAACCTAATGAACCACCCAGGCACCCCTAAGATCTTTTAATTTAGAACAGACCCTCTACCTCTTTTTTGTTGTTGTTCATGACAAGAGATCTTAGGCCAAGTGTTTTATAGAACGTCACATACAATCTGGACTTGTCACATTGTTTCTTTGCTTTTTTCATAATTTATTGAGCGAGACAGCTTAAGCGGGGGGAAGGGCAGAGAGAGGGGGACAGAGTATCCGAAGTGGGCTCTGTGCCGACAGGCTGACAGCAGTGAGCCTGATGTGGGGCTCCAACTCACGAACTGCGAGATCATGACCTGAGCTGAAGGTGGATGCTCAACTGACTGAGCCACCCCGGTGCTCCACATTGTTTCTTAATGGCTATTTTCAAGTATAACTTTTTTTGGCAATAATAGTATAAAGGTGACATTGTGTACTTCTTTCTTACTGCTTCACTTCAGAGGTTTGTGATGCCTCTTGTCTTAAAATTGGTGATGCCAACTTTGATGACTTGGTCAAAGCATTATATCTTTCCATGGTAAATGTGACTTGTTTATAATTAGTAATAGTTTGGGTTTGACACTTCAAGACCATGTGAAGATCCTGCTTTCCAACAACCTTTCATGCAATGGCTTCAGCAAGACTATGCTTGTTTGAATCAAATATTACTTTAGGGGTACAAAAGGGTGACCTTCTGATTTGATCATTCCTAAGAAATGGATTCCTTTTTCTCTTCAACTCTGTTATAATCCATTACTATCACTATTCCATGTGATGCTCAAATTGTCCCAAATTTGGACAGTGGGGGCCCCTTCAAGCAGCTCCTGTTTCCTTTTGATAGGACTCCATTGGTCCTTGAATATTTTCTTGCTTTCTGGAACAAGAAAATCCCCGAGGCTCTAAAGAGGCCTTCCTTTCCTGTCCCAGACCTAAATCAGCCTTAATCCAAGGAGCCCTGCTTCCTTTTAGTGGGGAACGATGTTTAGTAGCTCTCTTCTAAGGCCCTGGGGATGCTAGGGTGTCCCTTAGCCTTTCCAGCTGCTCAAAGCGGCAGGTGTGGACTTGGGAAGTCTATTACCAGTAATTCATAAGCTTGTGGGTAAGAATGATTTGCAGTTAGGCTGTGCCATTGAACCAACATGCTGTGGACCATGGGCTTCCCCAGACCTCAGGGTGGAAGGCTTTCTCCCATGCTGAGGCTTCAGAGTAGTTTCTGTAGCTCTGTTGGGATACTTATTATTTAGAGTTATTTGCACTATGAGAAGCAGAGAAGCTTGCAGTGTGATGCATCTGGTGTTGAATCTCTGGTTTAGTATCTAACTCATTTTGTAATCTTGCTTATGTTTGTTAAGGTTCTCTGAGCCTTAGTTTCCTCAACTATAAAATGGAGTGGATGCCACCCACCTTTTACAAGGGGCTGTTGTGAAGAAGCATAAAGAGTTCAGAATGGCTCTAGACATATAATAGAGGCTCAGTAAGTGGTCATAATTGTTATCTTTATATTCTACTTGGTTGGAGGCAGGCACTATGTTTGTTTATTTATTTATTTTGAGAGAGAGAGAGAGAGAGAGAGAGAGCGAGAGAGAGAGCGCACATGTGGGTAGAGAGAGGGAGAATCCCAAGCAGGCTCTGCATTGTCAGCACAGAACCCGAGGTCTGGCTCGATCCCAAGAACCGCGAGATCATGACCTCAGCTGAAATCAAGAGTGGGACGTTTAACTGACTGAGCCACCCAGGTGCCCCTATCCTATTCATCTTTAAATTCCTCAGGACACTCAGTCCAGTGCCTTGTGAACAGTTGTTCATATCAAGTGTTCAATTCCTGAGTGAAGTCTTCTTGGGGATCTGGCTTTCAAATAAAAAAAAAAACTTACATATAAATAAAATCAATTAACACATTTTTTTTTGAGAAGAGGATTGTGTCAATACTGTTAAGAGTTTAGCTTTTAAGTTTGGAAGCAACTAAGAAATAGACCCACAAGTCAAGCAGATGGAGATAAAAATATCCCCATTATTCCCTAAAAAAAAATTGAGAATGTGGCAGAGATGTGGGTCTGTGTGATCACGGAGTTACAGGGGTGTCACAAAGCCACAGTCGAGAAACATCTCATTAGATCATCACTAGAAAGGCAAGTTAATTGCGGTGGCTCTTGGCAGTTCTAAGGAAGGTCTGAGCAAGGGAGATGGTGCTTTTGTCTACGATGGGGATTCAGTCTCTCAGTTTCATTTTTAATGCTCTCTCCTCATCCAGTGGACCCCATATTTTACATATTTGTTAATATTTCACCAAAAGTTACACCTTGAACTACCTCCACTTCTGTTTCATAACAAGGTGCGAGGCAGCCAGTGCAGGTGCTGACCAGCTACCATATGCCAGGGCTGGGAAACAGATGTGACTGAGATTAAGGCACCAGCCATCCCTCCTCTCTGAGCTTTTTCTCTCTGCCAGGCTGTCACCACAAATGTGTCCACCTGGGCCTTGTAAAATTGTTCTCTTCCCTGCCTGGCCCTCATCCTCATGGACATGTTCCCACTGGGTTCCATTTAGTGAGGGTTCAAATAAGACATATCAGAGAGAATCATTTTCTAAACTACTGTGAAAGACCTTGTTCACTATGTTATTATATCCATTGCATATCGCAGAAGGATCTACCCAACATATTCTTTTTGTAATGTAGAACCAGCTAGTAGCTCAGTGTCAAATACTGAGAAATCATGTAACTCACCTAACTCTATGTATCTGCTAACATCAATGCTGAGTTAGAAACATATTACTCCAGGGTTTTTTAAAATGCAGAATATTTATTATTCCTAATGAGAAAGAACTGATCTTACCTAATGAGAGGTTGGCTTTTGCCTTCAGCTACTGGGAGGTCATCTCTGAGTCCCAGGAATGGCCTGTCTGATGGGAGCAGTTCTGGCCAATAGTCTGAACAGTGTGATTTCTGGTGGGGGCTTTAGGAGATGCACTGTGACTTCCAATCTCTGTCAGTTCTGACCTCCTCTGGAGGAACTAGAAACTGAAGGTATTAGTCTAAACCTCGAGGACACACTGGAGACTGAGGGTCAGCCACATGGGGAGCCCCAGTAAAAATTCTGGACACCAGAGGCTCAGAGGAGTTTCCCTGGTTGATAATACTCTGCGTATCATCACACATGGTGGCCAGGAGGAGGTGATGCCATCTGTGACTCCACAGGGAGGGGACACCTGGAAGTTCCAGGTTTGGACCCCTCCTGGACTCTGCCCTATGCACCTCTTTCTTTGGCTCTAATTTGTATCCTTTCACTGTGAGCCTAAGCATAGCACTTCCCAGAGTTCTGTGATTGTTCTAGAAAATTTTCAAACCTGAGAATGGTTGTGGGGACTCTCAAATTTGTGGCTGGTATCTGAAGGGACAGAAGTCTTATGGGGACTGTGCCTTCTAACTGTCCAGCTGGCTGAACTCCTTTGTACTTACCTGATAGTGTGTGTGTGTGTGTGTGTGTGTGTGTGTGTGTGTGTGTATGCATACACATATGTAAAGTTTTATACATATAGCATATAAATGTTTTATATATATGACATATATAAACACCTACACACACACACACACACATACATATAAATCACATATGTATGTGTCTTTTATTGTGCTTACCTCAAACCATTTCAAGAAGTAAATGGAAATGAATTTTATATAAATATTACCATTCAGTTATAAGATGGAAATACAACTTACTTTTGAATTATTTAAATAATTAGAAAATATGAAATACGTGTGTGTGACCATGGGTTCCAAAGGCACACAGGGTCTTGGCAAATGGAGAGTTAATGGAAAGATGCCCCCCAACAGCCACCCAAAGGGAGGGACATTGGGGATGAGCACTGGTGTGACCCTGGCTGGAGAACGCTCCAAACTTTTTGTTTCAAGGCCAAGGATTTTCACTTTTGAAATAAAACTATTTTCTCCTGATTATAAAAATAACATACACTTATTTTTAAAACTTGAAAATAGAGAAAACTATTTTAAAAAACCCATAGTCCTATCATCCACAAAGAACTGCTACTGGATTTTCTGGTATAGTTCATCACAGACATGTGATTGCCTCTTTCCTAACATGGCTGGGCTCCTACTGTAGAAATACTTTGAATGGTTCCAGAACTGTTTAAGACAGGGAAAGGAAATTGGGTTGGTTGCAGTCCTCAGTGCCAACTCTGTTAAACTGAGCTCCAGGAGAATAGGGAATAAAACAGTCTTCCTAGCCACCTGGATGCTCTTTTTTTTTTTTTTTTTAAGTTTATTTATTTATTTTGAGAGAAAACCAGTGGGGAAGAGGCAGAGAGAGAGGGGGACAGAGGATCTGAAGCAGGCTCTGTGCTGACAGCAGTGAGCCCAATGTAGGGCTCAAACTCATGAGCCATGAGATCATGACCTGAGCTGAAGTTGAACGCTCAACCAACTAAGCCACCCAGGCTTCCTGGATGCTCTTTTCACTTACTATAATTAAGAAGTTTTCTTTTTGATGGTTGTATAAAATATTTCCTTCAATTCATGTACCGCAATTCACTTAACAATTTCCTTTGATGGACATACTGTTCTTCCCTACTTGACCCTATTTTTGCTTTATTTTAAATAACACTACAATAAATATTATCACTCATGTGGCTTTTCTATATTATGGATCATTCCTTTCGAACAAAGTTCTTAGATGTGGCATCACTAGGATCAAAGGTTACAAATTTTTGTTTTTTGGTTTTTAAAATTTTTTTATAATGTTTATTTATTTTTGAGAGAGAGACAGAGTGCAAGCAGGGGAGGGGCAGAGAAAGAGGGAGACATAGAGTCCAAAGCAGGCTCCAGGCTCTGAGCTGTCAGCACAGAGCCCAATGCGGGGCTCCAACTCGCGAACTGTGAGATCATGACCTAAGCTGAAGTCGGACGGTCAACCAACTGAGCCACCCAGGTGCCCCAAAGGTTATAAATTTTTCAAGGCTTCTTTCATATTACCAACAAGTTTTCCAAAATGTCTACACCAATTTCCAGTCCCTACCAACAGCATTTGAGAGTAGAGGCGGGCTGGTTTGAAACTTAAATGACTGTCAGTCTGTAGTGAAAATAATTATGAAAGAGATTTTTATAGTTTCTTTTTTGATAAAGTTCAGGGAGGAAGTTAACACATTACTTAACCAGTAAATAACAAAAACAAGTTTTTGTGTGTTTGTTTTTGCCCATCGAACGGTGTTTTATGGCTAACAGGACATCTGAAAAGCTGCTGTGGCCCCTACTCACCCGCATGCAATGGCGCATCCTGATGGGGCATACGCACAAGCCATCACCCACGTGCAGGGCATAGTGACCGCGTGCTCCTGAAACACAGTACGCCAGGTTCATAGAAGGAACGAGCAGTGTTTCTACACACATGTATCAACCTTTAGTTTTCACAAAATGAAACGATTCAGGTTCCTGCTCAATTCCATTACAGCTTCAAAGAGCAGTGATGTGAGGTGACGATCAGCTGGAGACTGACGAAGAGACTCCGCTCCCCCATAATCAGCTGAACAGTATGTCGTATATTCGGAAAGCTAAAAATCTCAACCAGCAAAACAATATTCTTAATGTTTTACTTACTTCTTAATGGTGTACTCCCCTCATTCTTGTGAGTGAATATTGGAGCTCATTTTCCTTGAAAGGTCAGTCTGAATTTCACTGCAGTTATATTCTTCAACCTATTTACTCAAATTCCCCCTATTTTCAAAATCTATTCTTAAATGATTCAACATGTATGTCATATGTGTCTCCTTGTGAGTGTACGACAGCCGCTGGGCCCTGTGGGGCCTGAAACCATTCCTGGGAAGGTGTGAGTGGGGGCAGGTGTGCACAGGGTGATGCTGAGTTGTGCTCACAGATAACACAGAACCCGTAACATGGAAGCTATGAGAACAAGACGTAGCAGTTCCTGCTCCTGGCTCCTGCATTCTCCTGCATGTAGACAGGCAAACAAGAAAGCCACGATTCAAAACTTTCTAAATTTGTGGTCTTGTTTCCATGACAGGCCCTGGTCCTGGTTCCAATACCAGCAAGACGTGCGGCCTCATGTAGCCCTGCCATTTGTCCTCCCTCAGTCTCTCCCCATCTGTGAAGGGAGAGGATGGGACTAGATGATTCCTAAAGTACATGTGAGTGCTGGTCTTCTTTCCTGTTTGATTCTGTGTGATTTTGTGGGGGAAACATGGGCCCTGACACTGCCCATGAAAATTCTGTCACTTGAAATCTATGGCCTTAAAAAAATTTTTTTAATGTTTATTTTTGAGAAAGAGAGAGAGAGAGAGAGAGAGAGAGAGAGAGAGAGAGAGAGACAGAGCAAAGCAGGAGAAGGGTAGAGAGAGAGGGAGATGCAGAATCCAAAGCAGGCTCCAGGCTCCAGCCGTCAGCACAGAGCCCGACGCAGGGCTTGAACCCATGAACTGTGAGATTGTGACCTGAACTGAAGTCATATGCTTAACCAACTGAGCCAGCCAGGTGCCCCAGAATCTACAGCCTTTTAAACGCCAAGAATAATCTGTGCAAATGGTCGCTTTAGGCACAAGGCACCCCAGGCCCCCTTCTTTACAAGTAATAACTATGGTCTCTGATGGGGGGGCCACAGAGGCAACACCATGCCCCTTAGAAACCAGGCAGTGTGTGCTCAATGACATTCTAAGGCTTAAACAGAAATAACAAAAACCCACACACTCCTGAAGATGCTAAGGCATGCTGGGAGAAATAGAAGCTTCCGTGGAGGGAGGTGCTGGACAGGAAAGCCCTTTGCAAACTCTTAAGTTGCCATTTTTACTATTTCCCAGGGGCCTGACCATTAGGGACTCTGCTCCAAAAGATGGTTCTGGGCCCCCCCTTTGATCAGGTTGTACAGCAACTGCCTACCACAACAGCTACTAAACACATTCAATAGTGCAGAATTCGGATGCTGTTCAGTTTTAGGCAGATCTAGATCTCTGTGTTTTATATAGTGAAAAAGAAGACTTTCTTTATAAATAAATAACAGAATCAATAGTCATTACCGTAAATGGCAACATGATGCAGGCTTGTAAGCACACCGACACATTGATTTTGGCCTTTCTCTTAAGAGTCTAAATTCAGAGCCGAGCATGCCCAGGCCAGACAGAGGATAGTCAGTTCAACCCCCTGCAGCCACAGCTTCCCTGCCCACTGCCTGCTCATGTCCATAGTGGTACAGTCTGGTCAAAGACACAGAGAGGAGAGAAACCTGGGGATTTGGGAACCTCCTACCATCCCTCAGAAGAAAAACAATACATGTCTGTGTGAATGTGATAAGTTTTCCAAGCCAGGCCCTTTCCCGTTTTAGTGCTAGCACCCCGTCTGGTGGCTCTCCATGCTCCAGCCTCAATGAGGGGTGTTAGCTCTCCAGAGGAATGGATTTTGCTGTGGGTTGCTGAGCTGTCCGAACACAGATGGGCTTTTGTGGGGTTTCCATCCCCAGAAAGGCACCCGAGAAGAAGGATGACTGTGACTGGGGGTGTCTGGAGGGGATGAGGACCCAGGGCTGTGGTTCTGAGGTGCTGCTCAACATGCCAGCGACAACACCTTACCTTGTTAGTAGTGAAGGAATCCCACACGATCACCTTCCCATCCTGGAAGGAAAAAGAGTAAATAGCTCAGGAGTTGTCAGCCAGTCCTTACAGGGAAGTACTGAGAATTGTTCAAAAAAGCTGTGTCTGGGGTGCCTGGGTGGCGCAGTCGGTTAAGCGTCCGACTTCAGCCAGGTCACGATCTCGCGGTCTGTGAGTTCGAGCCCCGTGTCAGGCTCTGGACTGATGGCTCGGAGCCTGGAGCCTGTTTCCGATTCTGTGTCTCCCTCTCTCTCTGCCCCTCCCCCGTTCATGCTCTGTCTCTCTCTGTCCCAAAAAATAAATAAACGTTGAAAAAAAAATTAAAAAAAAAAAAAAGAAAAAAAAAGAAAAAAAAAAAAAAAGCTGTGTCTGGCGGGACAGTGTGCAGGAGAAAGCCAGAGTGAATATCTGGGTAATCAAGATCTATCCTTGAACAAAAGGGGAGCGAATATGGGGCTCAACTGTCCAGCCTGATTAAAGGCTCAGTTCTCAACGTTCTACTCCTTGTACAGATACAAAGACAAAAGCATTGCTTGGAGACTTCTGTTATACTATTTAGAAACCAAGCACAAACTGTTGGTACACGGCCATCACGCACCATACCCTGTCAGAAAGCGATACAGGCGTAAGACAAACCTGAAATGACCTCTAGGTACCTGACAGGCAATGAATGGACTCTTGCTTTCTCCCTCACCACCTCCACTAGCCATCCTGGCTCCTGTGTGCTGTGCTCCCTGTAGGGACGGGTCAGAGCCCCACCCTCATTCCTGGCCCACTTCTCGGAGCTGCGCTGGCCTGAGATCAGTGTAACGTTGCCACCCTAACATGTTGCACCTATGCTGAGAACAAGTCCATCATGGTGGGGATCCCCTGTGGGCAGCTGTTCTGCAAAGAGAGCACTCCCTGTCAGGGTGTGTTCTGGGCTGGGGCCAAGTTCATTGTCACCACTGCTGCAGCCCACACTGGGGCTGTGGGGAGTCACCACTAGGTCATCTATTTGTCATACAAACCCACTGGGGATAGACCACATAAACCCTGGTCCCTACAATGCAGTCACCGGCCCAGCATCTGGTGTGTGGGTCCTCTGGGCCCCCAGGCTCTGCCCAACAGTGGAAGAGGACGGCTGAGCTGACTCCTTCAGCACATGGGTCCCCCAAACACCCTCCGGGATAGCGAGTCTGCAGCATCCACGGCAGGCTTGGTTTTTATAATCATTCAAGCCATTTGGAGCCAAATCTGACGAATGAGGCAAGGGCGGGGGAAGAGATGCTGCTTAGGGGCACAGGTAAGGTCTGATTATCCAAAGTGACACTGCTTTGGATTCTGTGTCTCCTTCTCTCTCTGCCTGTCCCCCACTCACACTCTGTGTGTCTCTCTCAAAAATAAAGAAAAACATTAAAAACATATACATGTTCTAAATAATCCACACACTCTAACATCTATGTCAGGTTGTATTTGATAAGAAAAGGTCGTAATTAATCTCCTATATTACCTACAGGTCTAGTATGTCATGTACTTGCTTTCTTTTACGTTCATAAAAAAAAGTTATCCCGTAAGTTTTCTACCACATTTTAAAAATCGCTGAAAAAGAGAACAAAGAAATTGTTTTACTTCCACCATTCAGTCCCAGCCATTACTATTTTGGAGCATTCTTTCTTGACTTTTTTTTTTTTCTTTTTTTTTTTTTTTTTTTTACAAAGTGGTTATCAAGATATATATGTTGCTACCTAGCCTTTTTGATGCTTTGTATGATCTACTGGAAGATTTCCATATTCCTGCTGCGTGTGGCCAAAGTGCCCAGAAACAAGGTCAAAGTAGGCATTTTGGGACCTTTCAAAACTCCTAAGCACATTGGTTCTTCTAGTCTGACTTCTCTGACTAAATCCCTGAGCACAACGTATGGGGTAGATTAGGTAACAGAGCAGAGAAGAGATAAGGGGCTCCAGGCCTTGGGGTCCTCCACACCTGTAGCTCCACATGCTGCATGGGGCTGGCAGGGGTGGGGGGGAGTGTTTGGACAGACTCAGTGTATTGTCCAAATTGGCGTTCCCTTCGGTGGCTTCCTCCACCTCACTGCCTGCCTGCCTGTCCCCACCACCCACCTACTATGTGCTCTGGAGAGAAAAAGGAACCCAAGAGGCTAAAATCAGTCATAAAACCAAATGTGGGCTGCTCCACAAGCACGGATTTATACACCAGGGGCCCACATACCTAGAGAGACAGCCTCCACCCTAAACCCGAACCCACGCAGTCAGGCTGATTAATCTCCTGCCTTCAAGGGAACAGGGCTGCTCTGAGTCACTCTGTCTGCTCCAGAACATTCCTGCTGTTTCCAGCTTCCTCCCACACCCACCCGGCTTCTAGTTTCTCTGCAGCAGAGGTGGATGGATGGAGCACGTCAGCAGTGTACCTCCTCCCTAAGGACAGTATTTGAGTGACAGAGAATCCAACATATATTACACTTCTAGGGGTAAAAAAAAAGTCAAAAAGGCTAGGTAGCAACATGTATATCTTGATAACCACTTTGTGAAAAAAAGTTGAGAAAGAAATGCTCTAAAATAGTAATAATGGCTGGGACTGGGTGGTGGAAGTAAAACCTTTTCTTTGTTCTCTTTTTCAGCGTTTTTTAAAATGTGGTAGAATACTTGAGGGATAACTTTTTTTATGAACGTAAAAGAAAGCAAGTACGTGACATACTAGACCTGTAGGTAATATAGATTAATTACGACCTGTTCTTATCAAATACAACCTGACATAGATGTTAGAGTGTGTGGATTATTTAGAACATGTATATGTTTTTAATATTTTATTTATTTTTGAGAGACACAGACAGAGTGTGAGCGGGGAGAGGCAGAGAGAGAGAGAGGAAGACACAGAATCCAAGGCAGGTTCCAGGCTCTGAGCTATCAGCACAGCCTCCCAAAGCCGGGCTTGAAATCACGGATGGCAAGATTCTGACCTGAGCCGAAGTTGGACACTTAACCGACTGAGCCACCCAGGCACCCCTAGAAGATGTATAGTTTTTATACTTAAAAGGGCAATTAAAAAAAACCCCAAATTGTCCTTTGGAAAAGCTGGGCTGAAGGCAGGGATAGGGAGAAGCCCAAACTGGCCATAAAAATAAATGACTTCAGTTTACAGTTTTATATTCAACGTGTGTTACATCAAAATAGACATAAAAAGTACCAGGCAGTGATAAGCAGCCTCCTGATAGTCATACTTTTGTATAGGTCCCTCCCGCATTATATTAGGGTTGGTCCGTGTGACCAGTGGAATATAGCAGAAGTGATGGAAAGTCACTTTTGAGGCCAGCTCATAAAAGACAGCATGGCTTCTGCCCCATCTCCCTCTAGCACTCTGGGGAACACCAGCTACTGTGTTGTACGCAGCCCTATGGAAAGTTCCATATGGTGAGGAACTAGGGCGTCCAGCCAATGAGCCATTTTGGAAGGGAATTTCTGCCTCAGTGGAGCTGTGCCATGATCACAACAGCCCTGACAAGCATCTTGACTGTGACCTCATCAGAGATCCTGAGCCAGAACCACCCAGATAAGCTGCTCCAGATTCCTGACTCTCAGAAACCATAATAAATATTTGTTGTTTTAAGTTGCTAAATTTGGGGGTAACTTGTTATACAGCACTAGATAACAATAATACATAAGATATAAAATAAACTATGTCAATGAGATAGAATGAATGAAAAAAATATCCTTTCCAAAAATGTATCTTAAATTTGTTCTTTAGGGGTGCCTGGGTAGCTCGGTTGGTTAAGCGTCCGACTTCGGCTCAGGTCATCATCTCATGGTTCATGAGTTCAAGCCCCGCATCGGGCTCTGTGCTGACAGCTCAGAGCCTAGAGCCTGCTTCAGATTCTGTGTCTCCCTCTCTCTCTGCCCCTCCCCGACTCGTTCTCTCTCTCTCTCTTTCTCTCTCTCAGATGAAGAAACATTAAAAAAAATTGTTCTTTAGGGCATAGAAATTGCTGAACTCTTAAAGTGAAAGAACCCATAAGCACTTATGTTCCCAACTTGAGGGGAAAAAAACCCTCTATCTAAAAAAGGGTTTCATTTACAAATGAGACCCTGAAATATGCTCAGGAAGAAATAATTTTGAGTGGTTTGTCAAATACAGTTCATGTCTCATTATTACCAATTCCAAATCTACCCAAATGAATGGCGTTCTACAGTATGCAAGAGAATTCTTAACTATGCCAACTCATGTCCTGTGGAGAATAAATGGAGTCCTAGAGATCAGGAAGGGTTTCTTGAAAAGGAAAGCTCTCTTCTTTTGCTATAAAGTCAGACGCATGCTCACCATCAAATAGCAGGTGCCACGTACCTGGGATGAGCTCACGATCCTTCTCTTATCTTTGCACCAGTCCATGCAGAGAACTTTGTTCCCATGGCCTTTGAGGGTCCTTCTGGTCTTCATGACAAACTGCCCCAGGGCCTCCACCCGCTCCGCAACCTGGTGTACTAGAAGGACAGGCAACAATCAGTTCTGTTACCCAGGACCAGATTCTGAGCCATATGCTGGCAAAGGGATGACACTGGTCTTTCTCTGTGGCCACAGCTTGATTCTCCTGTTCTTTACTATAATGCCTTCACAACGCTCTCTTTTGAGCTCAGTGGAGGGTAGAGACAACACTGTCGTTCTGTCTTTGTGTTTAATACCCTACATTTTTCAAAGCATTTCCATCTCTGTGTGCTAAGGGATCAACAAGACTGCCTCATATCTACAGACTATATACCTTCTACTATACACAATTCTCCCACTGAAGGGTGACAGCTCTGCGAGGTAGGCAGGGCAGCATCAGAATGAGATCACTGTCCCCCTTTAACAGGTGAGGAGACTGAGGCTTACAAGGGTTCTTTGGCTAAGTTCATACAACTAACTGGGAGTGACTCTGGGGTTTCCGGTTCTTTCACCTACCTTTCCAGTCACAAGGAAAAGCGACTTTACAAAAACTGTCCTATGAGGTGCCAGCAGGCACCGTGACTCCTAAATGACCACCCCCCCTTCCCCTCTTGCCTAGCAAAGGCCTGGGATGTGCAGGCTCCATTCATGTGCTGCAGGCAAGAATGAATAAGGGAGCCACCGGTACAGCCATGGGTTTACTGAAAACTTGTGGTGTCAGTAGAGAGCAATATTCTAGAAGTCTGAACACATGACCTAGACAAGGAACCAACACAAGGGAGGAGCTTCAAAAAGGAATCTCTCAGGTGCTGGGACCGTGGCCTCTTTCTCGAAGCAAATAGAGCTTTCAAAGGGCTTATCTCAGAGGCTATCACTGTGGGGTGTCACTAGGAGCCAAGTTCCCACAAAGGTACCATCTAGTCCAGACCCTGGATCCAGAGGTGAGGCAACTGAGGATGGGGGATCCCATGGCTTCTCCCCCTTGTGCAGTGCCACTGCGCTTGTGGTTGGAGGCTGTGCCAGAAGGAAAACTGGGGCTCCTGACCCCCTCTCCACTTCTCCTTCCTCCAAACCTCCCAGCAGGGCATTTCCCCAGGCAGGTGAGAAGCAGGGAAGGGGGCATTTGAGGCAAGGGATGGCCCGAGGAAAGGTGTGGTGTCTTAGCATAGCAGAGTGACGTGGGTGATGTGAGGCCAGGGGGCTGGCTCTCTTCCTTCCCAGGAGCTGCTAGAACTTGAGGGGGAAATGCCACCTCCTTGTGGGAAACCCGGGCAGGGAGGGCCAGACTGGACTGTAGTTCAAGCAATGACAACAGAGCCCTTCTCAGAAACCCACCCTCCCTGGCTGGCTCTCCCTTCCTTCTCTCTAAACACTGCACTGTGTATCTCCTAAAAACAAGGCACTCTCTTACATAACCACAGTATATTATCAAAGTCAGAAAAGTAACACTGAAACAATACTACATCTGATGTATGGACCTTACTGAGAGACTCTCCATTGTCTCAATAATAACTTTACTGCAAAAGAAAACCCAAGATCATGTGCTGTACTCAGATGTCATGTTTCTTTAGTCTCCTGACTTACTTTCCCAGTTTGGGCTTGTCTCCTGCTTCCTCAAGATTAAATTCAGGTAATATGTGTCTGGCAGGAACACCAGAGACTGAGGAGCTCCTGCCGGTGTACCTGGTCAGGAGGCACCTGTTGTCCATTAGTTCACCATCACCAGCACTGTTCACGCTGACCATTTGGTTAAGATGGTGTCTGCCAGTTTCTTCACTGGACAGTTACCATTTTGCCTTTTATCATGAAGAAGCATCCTGTGGGGATGTACTTTGAGACTATATAAATACCCAGTCACTCTTCAAACTCTAGTTTTAACATCTGTTAATGATTCTTGCCTGAATGGTTTATTACGATAGTTCGCAAGGTTTTCCTAATTCCATCATTCCTTCTGTTTTTTGTTTTGTTTTGTTTTTTTTAATTTTTTTTTCAACGTTTATTTTTGGGACAGAGAGAGACAGAGCATGAACGGGGGAGGGGCAGAGAGACAGGGAGACACAGAATTGGAAACAGGCTCCAGGCTCTGAGCCATCAGCCCAGAGCGTGACGCGGGGCTCGAACTCACGGACCGCGAGATCGTGACCTGGCTGAAGTCGGACGCTTAACCGACTGTGCCACCCAGGCGCCCCTGCTTTTTGTTTTTTTTTTAGTTGGCTTTCTAATAAAAGGAGTTTTCCCTCCCCTCCAATGTATTTATTCACCCATGTATATTAGATGGACTCATGGATTCTTACTGTAAGAATTATTTATTTTGATGCTCATCCAGTGCCTGATTTGCTCAGAGGGGGCCCCATCAAGCAAGCTCCCATGACCTTCCAACACGTCCCCAACATTCCCTGAGCACTTCTTTTTTTTTTTTAATATATGAAATTTATTGTCAAATTGGTTTCCATACAACACCCAGTGCTCATCCCAACAGGTGCCCTCCTCAATGCCCATCACCCACCCTCCCTTCCCTCCCACCCCCATCAGCCCTCAGTTTGTTCTCAGTTTTTAAAAGTTTCTTATGCTTTGGCTCTGTCCTTCTCTAACCTCTTTTTTTTTTTTTTCCCTGAGCACTTCTTATTACAGACTCAGGTTCTTTCCCTTCGAATCAGCCACTTCTCCAAGAAGTCTTGGTTTCATGTAGTTGCCCCATTTCTTTGTGATAGAAGAACAAATGTGTGAACAAGTTAAAAGTCTCTGTGAAAACTCAGCCCATAAAAAATACTGGTTTAACTATAAAGTACTACATGAGAGGCACCTGGCTGGCTCAGTCGGTGGAGCGGGCCACTCTTGATGTAAGCTAGAGCCCTACATTAGGTGGAGAGATTACTTAAAAATAAAATCTTAAAAAAAAGTATACCTGGGGCGCCTGGGTGGCGCAGTCGGTTAGGCGTCCGACTTCAGCCAGGTCACGATCTCGCGGTCCGTGAGTTCGAGCCCCGCGTCGGGCTCTGGGCTGATGGCTCAGAGCCTGGAGCCTGCTTCCGATTCTGTGACTCCCTCTCTCTCTGCCCCTCCCCCCTTCATGCTCTGTCTCTCTCTGTCCCAAAAATAAATAAACGTTGAAAAAAAAATTAAAAAAAAAAAGTATACCTGAATATGCAATTATTATGCTATTACTTCTGCTGAGACACTGCATTCTTTATTGCCACAAACAGCACATTAGTTTTTTACTGATGCGTTCTTTAAAACATATTGTTTAATATGTTTAAAAACAGAGTGAATTTTCTAAATTCTTACAGGACTTTGACATGTCTGTACCAGCTCAGAGTTGTGAGCATAGATTATTTAGTGTTTTACTTTGACACTTCACATCGATATTCTTGCTGTTTTCCTCACTTGTGCATTAGGAAGACCACAGCTATTTAATGTCCCTCTCACAAAAATAAAAAAAAAAATTAATTAAAAAGATGGCTCACCCCACCCATATAGGGCCCTCCTTACATAATGGGAATCTGACCACATCCCAACTATTAGTTATTTTTTCTCATTGCATTTTTCCATCCCACACCCACTCATCCTGTTTCTATCTGGCAAATCTCACATCTATTAAAGAGTTACAGCTTTTCAAATGATGTCTCCAGAACCCCTACTGTGTGCCAAGAACTATGCCGGATGCATGGGTACAGAAAAGAATAAGACAGTCCCTGCTCTTAGGGAGCTCACAGTGTGCAGGGGGAAGACAGGCCTGCACACATATCACCAAGGCAGTGTGGTCACAGAGGTGTCGGGGAGCCGAGGGTAACACGGCTGACTGCTGGCAGGTGTGCCATCAGAAGGAGATGTCACAGGTACCTGGTTTTGAAGGATCCATAGGAGTTGGGGTAAGGAAAGGGAAGGGAGGAAGCTAGCTTCTTTATATCTCTGTTTCTCATTCAGTAAAATGGAAGACAGTGAACTAATCCACGGGGGTGTTCTGAGTTTTAATAGGGGAAGTGAATTAAAGTGCCTAACAGGTGTCTGGCAGGCCAGAAACCAAAGATGGAGAGTCAGGGTACTAGGGGCTGGGGACTTGAAAACTGGAAACAACATAACCTGGAGGAGGTGGGGGGGGGGGCTTCTGAAATGGAAAGGCCACAGAGACTTTCACGTTTGGGATAAGAAAGAATGAGAGAGTGAAAAGAGGAGGTTAGGGATAGGGAGAAGGTTTTTTCTTGATTTATTTTAATATAATTATAGAAGAGAATGCACACCCATTGAAAGTAACCAGAAAATAGAAACACGATCGCTTACAGTCCTGCCTAGCCTGACCATTCTAAACATGTGGTCTATATCCTTCCAAGCCTTTTCTCTGCACACGTGTACACATGCATGTGTGTGTATATATATACACACACACACACACACACACACACACACACACATACACACAAGCAGACTACACTTCACATACAATTTTGGGGATGAGTTTTTTCATTTATGGTTGTCTATGTCAAATATAATTATCTGTCACTTTAAATGACTACATGACATTCCACTGAATATACCACAACACTAAAATTCCCTACTGGAAGACACTTTGTTCTAGGGCTGCCTGGATACCTTTGCATTGCATTACCTCCTTAGATAAATGTCAATTCATAGCATTGCTGAGTCAAAGGTATAACACATTTTTAGAGGATTTCAATGCATATTGCCAATATCTACCATTTTGTGCACATTTCCTGGGGAACAGGCACTGGGCTGAGGGCCTTACACACAGCCCGAGGACCCAGGCTAACCCTTATTTCTACAAAGAAGGAAGGGGAAACTCAGAGAGGCTAAGGACGTCATGTACAAGCATTCAGACCCCTATGAACAGAAAACACCTCCTGTAGTGGCATGAGTTCTGGGCACGTGGCTCTATTACTGTTGAAAATCAAGGCCAAAGTGAGGTGGTGACAATGGCTTCTTAGTCTAGGAGACACCCCCAACTTGGATCCCTCTACTTCCTGATGTAACTAGAGCAACGGATCCACGTTAGGGACTCTAGTCCGGAATCAAGAAGTGCATCCTCATCCTGGCTCTGGGAGACCGATGCAAATTTAGAAACAGAAGAGAACTTAGGAACTCAACAAGTCAGGCTGAGCACCAATCCCGGGCACCCTGAGGTTTGGCAAGTGTATGAAGCAGGGGTTTTCAGTTGCCATCAGCTCCTCCTCCCGTCAGCCTCTACCTTCCCTCACAGACAAAAACCTTACTAGAAGCCCAAGGCAGAAAGTAGCCAGAGCTGAGCTGAGCTGGTGAATGGGGGAGGGAGGATGCCAGGCTCAGGGGCATTTGTCAGCACACTTCTCGCCCACTGGCCCCCAAGGTAAGTGAGTTGCCCTGATCCACTCACTTCTCAGAAAAGGAAAGTGAGTCCTGAGGGAAAGGCACAACTTACAAATTAGTGGAAACAAATGTCTCCTCTGAGCCTGTGCCCTCTTCTGTAAAACGAGGGTGTTAAGAGTTTATCTGGATGGGGCCCTGGAAATAATCTGTAATTCTGGTTTCAAGCAAAGATGAATTTTTCATGAAGATGTGGCTTCCTGTCAACTTTCAGGGAATATTTTGCTATTTATTTTATAATCTGTCGCACATGTGAACCAAAAGTAAAATGTATAGTGTGCAAGTCTGTTCATGAAAATCCAAACAACATAAATTCGTAAAGTGAAAACATGCATCAGGGTCCTTTTCATCATTCCAAAAGGCCATGAAAAAAGTGACCCAAGCACAGACAGATCTAAAGTTTTCCTGAACATGAACATTGTGGAAATGACTGGTAACACATTAGATAAGTTCAAAGACAAGTGAGACATCTTCAGTAGAAAAACAGAACCATTTAAAAAATGATCTTGAACCACTTTCCAAATTTGGCACCAATATACAGTCTTTTGATGGCCACAATTTGGTAGAAGATCTAAGGAATCAAAGATGAAAAATTATCTGGGGTGCCTGGGTGGCTCAGTCAGTTAAGTGTCTGACTTCAGCTCTGGTCCTGATCTTGTGGTTCATGGGTTCAGCTCAGCGTCAGGCTCTGTGCTGACAGCTTAGAGCCTGGGGCCTGCTTTGGATTCTGTGTCTTCCCCTCTCTCTCTCTGCCTCTCCCCTGCTCACACTCTGTCTCTCTGTCTCTCAAAAATGAATAAATTAAAAAAAATTTTTTTTTAAATGAAAAATTATCCAAAGCTAATTCTAAAAAACTCATTATGCAACCCAAGTGTCCATCGATAGATGAATGGATAAATATGTGGTGTATCTATACACCCACACACAATGAAACACTTCTCATAAAAAAGGGTGATATCATTTACAACATGGATGGACCTAGAGAGTGTTATGCTAAGTGAGGTAAGTCAGAGACATAAAGACAAATACCATATGATTTCAGTTATATGTGGAATTTAAGAAACAAAACAAATGAAAAGCAGAAGTAGACCCATAAATACAGAGAACAGACTGATGGTTGCCAGAGGGGAGGTGAGTGGGGGGGATGGGCAAAGTGGGTGAAGAGGAGTGGGAAGCACAGGCTTCCAGGTATGGAATGAGTAAGTCATGGGGATAAAAGGGGATAAGAGCATAGGGAATATAGTCGATGATATTGTAATACCATTGTATGGTGACAGATGGTCACACAATTGTGGTGAGCACAGCATAACCTATAGAGTTGTAGAATCACTATGTTGTACACCTGAAACCAATGCAACACTGTGTGTCAACTATATTTCAATTAAAAAACAATACAGGTAAAACAATTTAAAAAAGCATTCCACCTGAATTTACCTCAGGATCGAATGAGGTGGGATATAAACAAAATCCTTAAACACTGGGATGGTGGGAAAATATCTGCAATCACATTTCCTCACTTGTGCTTGAGATTTTGGAATTGCTCCAAAACATCCATTAGCTACACACAGAAAAAAACCTCCCCAGAATTCCCTAATTAGAAAGTGGAAAGACTAAGCTATGGTACCATCTTTCAGATGGAGTCCTACATGGTTCCGTACAATTATTTCAAAATATTGACATTAAAAAGAACAGTAAAATGACATGGGGGGCATTTTAATCCATTGTGTTAGATTAAAACTAGGCTCAAACTCTAAATCTAGTACAATTCCAAATATGCTCACAAATATATAGGCAAGCATAAAATCATAAGCTATGAAATACACCAAAATGTTATAAGTGGCTGTCTCTGGGTGGTGGGGTTATAAATGGCTTGTTGTCTTCTATATTTCTAAATATGTGGCAGGGGGCATTCGTTTATTACGATGGTACCCTGGAGACACTTATGTTAGCTAGCTTGTGTGCAATTAGGAACGCAGAGCCAAAGCAAAGGGAGACGCAATGAAAGCCTCTCACGGCTGCGGGCAGCGGGTGGAAGAGCAGCAGGGAGAGGATTAGCTTGAAACGAAACTCACTTCTAGCCTCAGGACACAGTAGTTTTCCTTTAGAACGTGGAAAAAGTCAGCCAACACATTTGTTTCAGACTAATCCAGAAATTCAGTTTTCCTAGATTTCTCCCTACACCATAAAATCAGAAGAGTCCAAGGCTCCAGCCATAATAATAATAATCTTTGACAGTAAAGCCTTTCACAAAGCTACATTTAGAACAGAAAGTAGCATCTGATGATAAGTCCTATGATTTGCCCAAATGTCATCTGGATTTGTACTCAAAGAAATTACAGAAATCTTTGAGTTGTTCGTTCCTAGACTAGATGAGAGAGAATCTGCCACCAAGGAAGCTGGGAATCTGGAAGAAGCCCCCCTCAGCCCCAGGAGGCTGCCAGTACACGGTAGCTGAAATAAACACAGCATGCCTCCTGCTCTGCTGGCAGCCTGTTTTCCAGATCATTCTTCAGTTTAATTTCAAGTTAAGGACTCTTTAAAGTTGAACTCTTTTTTTTTTCTTGATGTTGACTCCTGTTCCAGTACTCATTTTTTATTATACACGCAGTAAATGCACAGATGGGTATAAAGTGAAAAATACCTCTACTTCCCTTCCTCCCCTGGCCTTCTCTAGAGATAACAGTTTCTTGTGTAACCTGCCACAAAGTCAACGCATAACACAAGCATCTCTTGTTTAAGCTAATGAGATCATGTTATATATACTGTTTACGACTTTTTAAAATTTAATATTGAAACCTTTTCATACACGCATAGATATTTTTTCCTCAAAAAAATTTTTTTTAATGTTTATTTATTTTTGAGAGAGAGAGACAGAGTTGTAAGCAGGGGAGGGGCAGAGAGAGAGGGACACACAGAATCCAAGGCAGGCACCAGGCTCTGAGTTGTCAGCACAGAGCCAGATACAGGGCTTGAATCCACGGACTGCAAGATCATGACCTGAGCCAAAGTCAGATGCTTAACAGACTGAGCCGTCTAGGTGCCTGCCCCGCCCCCACCACTTTTTTTTTGTCTTTTTAATATAAATCACAACTGTCTGAGTGATGGCCTAGCAGGGTGAGGAGGAGAGCTATACCTAGGAGCCTGAACCCTGGCGTCTGCTCCCCATTCTCCCTTAGAGTAGCTGCAGAACCTTAGGGCAGCTAAAGAAATATAATCCTTCCCTGGATCTCAGCGGTCTCATCCATACAGGTGGCAGGGAGGAGAAGAAAACTTTTTGTGCCTTTAAGACTGAGGCTGAAGCAGGTGACCCTTCTAGTTTTGAGAGTTGTGTGATAAGACCTCCAAAGATGTCTATGTCCTAATCCGTGGAACCTGTGACTATGTTACCTTACATGGCAGAAGGGGCTCTGAGATGTGATTAACTTAAGGATCTTGAGAGAGGATGATTATCCCAGTTTATACAGGTGGGCCCAATGTAATCACAAGGGTCCTTGTAAGAGGGAGGCAGGGAGATCAGAGTCAAGATGTGATGAGAGAAAGGAGGTTAGAGGATGTGGGGTCACAAGCCAAGGACTGCAGGTGGCCTCTAGAAGCTGGACAAGGCCAGGAAGGGACTCTTCCCTAAAGCTTCCAGAAGGAATAAAGCCCTGCTAACCCAGTTAGACTTCTGACTTCCAGAACTGTAAAAGAATAAATTATGTTGCTTTAAGTACCTATGTTTGTGGAAATTTGTACAACATCAATAGGAAACGAATACAAGCTATATATTATATCTCATGATTCTAAAATGTCTTATAATCAAGCAAGGGAGCACTTACCCATGGCAGAAGGTAAGCTGACAGTAAAAAGGGGAAAACATGTACGGAGAAGGAGGAAGCTCTGGAGGAATATGGGGAAAGGCAAGGGCGCTGGGCCTGGGGCTATGGAGTTTGATGCAGGCAGGCTTCCCCTTGGGCCACCCATATCAGCCACTTCCTCTATTTAATGTTAGCCAAGGGTCTGACTCAGGGAAGAGGGCTCAACAGTATGGATGCTGGTCTGAGGGTCAAAGGGAGGGGAGCTGAAGAAGTGAGGGTCTGGAGTTGGGTCGAGTTTGCTTTTCCTCCAAGTTCATGCTCTATTATTTTCTTGTGTTTTTAGGCAAGAATTTGGGCAAGTCAGAGCTAACAGAAGGCTGATCAACTGTCCCAGTTTGCCCAGGACTAAAGGGTTTTCCAGAATGCAGGACCTTCCATTTTAAAACTGAGAGTCCCAGGCAAACCGGGACGACTTGGCCATCTTAGCTTGTGGCCTGAAAAGCTGGGGTAGGGGCTACAGGACCATCTATATAACAACACCAAAATGTAAGAATGACAGGCTCAGTAAGAGGTTGAGAGATTGGAAGAGAGAAGAGCCCAGTGATCCTAGATCATGAAGATCTCTGAGGGGAGGGGAGACTGGTCAGAAGAGGAGGAGTGGCTCTGAGCACCCAAGGGATCCAGGAGACTGTGATGGAGAGAGAGGCCAGTGGGTTAGGACAGTCACCCTTGGGAACCCCGAAGATATCAGGGATGGGGCAGGGCTGAGGTCAAAAAGAAGGTTCAAGCCATGTGCCAAATTTCCCTAAGAAATGAGGCAGCCTGGCTGGGAAGTCAGGAGACAGCAGCATGGAGAAGGGGAAAACAGATGTCAGTTGAATGACAGGAGCTTCAAAGGAGCAAAGGTTCTATACAGGAGTAGAGGAGAAATGGTCTGGAGGCTGCAGGGGGAATAAAGGGGAACATGGCCATATGACTTCTGGTCTTTTCAACTCCAAAATTCTGACTTACATGCAGGTGGGGATAGATCTTTCCACTGTGGGTCCAAAAGTTGGTGGCTTCTGAGGGTACTGCATCCTTGGCAGGACAGGGGACTATGCTGAAAAACTACCTTGACTATCTCTCTGCCTTAAGGTCATTTCCCAAGTCACAGAAAAGGCTAACAGGTTCCCAGTGGGATGTCTTCACTGTTGGCCAAGAGAGTTTCTGGAGAATCTTTGCACAGAGCCCAAAGTAGTTGGGCAAAAAGCTGAAGCGAGGTTGGGCTGGAGTTCTGACTGTCCGGGCTGGAATCCTGGTCCCACCACCGACTGACTGCAGTCCTCTGGCAAGTCCTTTCACCCTGCCGTGCCTCAGTTTGCTCCTCTGTAAAATGCAGAAGTCAGACGACCTACCTCAGGGGCACTAACACCACACATACGGCATCATCGATAGCACCTGCAGAATGTAGGAATTTGCAGAGTGAAATGAGGCAGACTTTGTCCAATGCCTCCCAATTTCCATTCCCTACTGCTTCCTGATAACAGAAACCCAACGTTGTTTGGGGATGACAATGTGTCCAGCTCAGTTCTCTCTTTCCCAGGGTCCCTTGCAGTAGCAATGTAACCTACTTCTGGCCAATAAAGTACAAAATCTGTTGGAAGAAGGGAGATTTGGGGGCAAACTTTTGCTTTCCTGGTAAGAAGGAGAAACAGAGGCTGGTGACCACTTTCTCCCTTCTTCTGGCCCTGGATACAGAGGTGATGTTTGGAGCTGTGGTGGTCATACTGTCATAATGCGGCAAATGCCCGTGTTCTCACGGTGGTGGAGAACAAAGACTGGAGGGTGGGTCCCTGATGGCACCCTGAGCTGCTAAACCAAAGTCGGTGATCACCTACCCTTGTTCCTCTTACACGAGGAAAACAGCTCCCAATTTGTTTCGCTACTTTATTTGGGGTCTATAGTTAACTGTAGCTGGACACATCCCTAAATGATATAGAGGTTTAGCGTGTCTCCGAAGGAGGCCCTTACAAAAGCACAGCACGCTCTCGATTCAGGTCATCTGCTTCTATCAAGAAAGGAATCAGGTGCTAACAACCCAGCATGAACCCCATGTTTCTTTTCCAAAAAATATTAAAGGGGTGGCCCCAAATAGGAAGTGTAGGAGCAGGATGTATAGGTGTGCCTGAGGGTACCATAGGGAGCCTGGGCTCAGCAAAGGGGAGCTGCCATCCTCAGAGCTGAAAAATAAGCAGATAATGCCACTTCCCCAAGCCTGGCCCTCAGCCCAAACTCTGCCGAGGACAAACCATCTGACAGAGTAAAGGGAAGCGGATCCCGCCAAGAGCCATTTAACCTGGCTACTTAATTGCTCACTCATAAAAATCACAGAGCCGGTTCTGAATTATGGTAGTGGTCAAGAAGTATGTTGTTTACCTACGACTGCTGTTGCTCGTTTATGCCAAACACACCGCATCCCTTCAAAAGCTTCTTAAACAGCCTCAAGTGAACTAACTAAATGGTAGGATTTGGTAAGCTCCTCTGCTTTCCTCCCCCCACCCGGTTCTCCGGGATTGGAAAAAATGAGGTTTTAACTCAAGAGTCTGGTTCCTCGGAAAAGCAAAACTGAGAAAAGATACAACAATGATGGAGAAAGCCAAATGATTAAAAAACAAAACAGGAGTTTACCCTAGGCCGCGCCCACAGGGCTCGCTGCGCTGGCTACCGCTGACACCCCACCCCCTCCTCCACCTTGCTTGGCTCGGGCAGGACTGCGATCAGTTTCGCATCTCTCAGGAAGGCGATGGAGGGAACTCATCTCAAGACCCTACCGGGGTAGAGCAGCGACCAGGGGCGGCTTCCACCAGGCGCCCCCGCCCAGAGGCGGAACCGCCTCCGCTAAGCGGGCGGGGGCTCTACAAGGTGTCCGGCGCCTCCGAGGTCCGCCCGGCTCGGGCCCCACAGCCGCGCAACCCGGGGGCTCCGGGCCGCAAGCCACGCCTCACCGGCGCCCGGGAACCAGGGAGCCCATCCCGGGCGCGAGGCCTGGCTCCGGCCCCCCGGCCCTGCACCCCCAACCCCGCTCCCCCGGGGGGCCGGTCTGGTTTCTTCGGCCCGCCTCCCGGCGCGCAGCCCCCGCCCCGGCCCGCACTCACGCTCCACGTCGTGCAGCTTGGCCCGCTCCTCCTCCAGTTTGCCCTTGAGGCTCTCGGCCTCGCTCTTCAGCGACGCCAGCGTCTGGTTCTCGTGCAGCCCATCGGTTGCCATCTTCGCGCCGGGACGCGGCGGGGAGCGAAGCGGAGAGAGGGGCGGCGGGTGAGCGGGCGGCGGAGGCCAGACCGGCGAGCGGGCGGGAGCGGCCCCCGGCGCAGCTCCAGCCGCCTTCTCCCCGAGCGCGGCCCCGCCCTCCGGCGCTGACGCGGGCGGCTGCGAGCCTGGCTGCCGCGGTCGACTCCCCCCTCTCCGCCCGCCTCGCCCGCGGACACCCGCGCCCCCTCCGCGCCCACCCCCGCCCTGGCACCTGCGGCGCGCGCCTGGCGCTGTGCCCGGGGCGATGCCCGCGGTGGCGCTGCAGCGCACAACACCCGGAGAAGCAGGGAGTGTCGTGCCCCTTTTACCGGTGGGAAAACCGAGGCTCAGAGTGGATAACGTGACTTGCCCGAGGACCCGCTCGTAGTGAAGGACCAAACTGGGATTCCAATCCAGGACTGCCGGCTCCTGGGACCTGGTGAAGTCCCAGTGACACGGCCTTCCTACCTGCCCCCTCCCTGGCACCGATCAGCTCTCAGTGGGACTTGATAGGCTGCGCAGTGGCTGCTACTTGCAGAGTAGGTGAGCAAGGAGAGGGCAACGAGGCCCGGTCCACACCCACCACTGATTCCCACCTCATCCTGGGTAGCCCTGGTTCCCCACCCGCCCCCACAACGAACCGGAAACTTTCCTCCTTCGTTGACTCAAATATACAAAAATAAAACTCGTTTTGGCTTCTGAGAAGCTGTAGTGTACGCCATTAAGACCGCACACTCTGGGTTTTGCTTTTCTTTTTTTCACGCAGAGAATTAAGTGCCTGGCCTGGGGTCAGCAAAAGGAGGTGGTGGCAGGGGTGGGGTTAGTATTCAGGGGCCCAGACCCAGCGTTTTTGAACATACGCTCAGTGATCTCAGCTGTGTCATTTCTGAGGCAGCTTCCTCCACCTTAGAATGGAAGGTTCCTAGGAGTCTCTCAAAGATGCAGATTTAGTGACTTTAAGGCAGGCTCAAGCATCTCTTTTTCCCAGTCCTGTGCAATGCGAGGCGCTGTTCCAAGTACTTTACGTTAATAAACCACAACAATCACCCTGAATGGATACTATTCTCCCCATTTTACAAATGAGGAAGTTGAGGGACGGAAAGTTTAAATGATTTGCTTGAGTCACACTCCCAGAAAGAGGCAAAGGCAGGATTTGGACCTAGGCAGTCTGGCTCTATTCAGCTACATGCCTCCAGACTTCAGTGTGGAGGACCCAACCCATGGCTTCTCCCTTTTACCCCTCCATGACCTTGCGTGTGTGTGTGTGTGTGTGTGTTTATACATGCAAAATGGGAAGGCAGATCGAGGTTACAAATTCTAGAGCAAACATTCCCAAACAGGATTTTGGTGGCTGTGCTCACCCTTCCCTCCTTCCACTTCTTGTCCTGGGTGGCTCTTCATCAAAGGAAAGTTGGAAGTAGCCTGGGTGGCTCAGTCGGTTGAGCATCTGACTTCAGATCAGATCATGATCTCACGGTTCGTGAGTTCGAGCCCCGCATTGGGCTCTGTGCTGACAGCTCGGAGCCTGGAGCCTGCTTCAGATTCTGTGTCTCCCTCTCTCTGCTCCTCCCCCACTCACACTCTGTATCTTTCTCTCAAAAATGAATAAACATTAAAAAAAAGTTGGAAGTAATCTATATTAATCTAAGCATGGTTGTCTAGGAGGTTAGATTCTGGGCTCTTTGGTTTCCTTATCTGGGACATCTACTTCGGCTGTTGTGAGAATTGAATACGAGAATTTGAGTGAACCTCTTAGCAGACACCGCCACCATAGCAGGTGTGTTTTAACTACCAGCTCCCCATTGATACAGGTTTATTCATCACTTATCCTCAGTATTTAGCATAATAGATGGTATATGGTAGGTGCTCAGTTAATGTTAACTTATCAAGTGGATATATAAAATAGAATATATAAACTGTATAATTAAAAACAAAACAAATACACAAAATATCAATGTGTTAATAGATATATACAACTATTTATAAAAGTGAAACTATTATATCTGCTTCAGAGTTTGTAGAGCAGAAGTGTAAAAGCATGGGTGCCATCAAGATCATACTTCCTGAGGATAACTCCTGGCTGTGCTGTGTGGCCTTGGGTGATTTACTTAACTTCTCTGGGTCTCAGACTCCTCCTCTATAAATGGAAAACACCTCCTCAAAAAGCCTCATCCTGGGTAACCCTGTAGAGCATCCCATGACACATAGTACTTGCTCAAAATTAAGGCTCCCTGATACACTTGAGCAATTCATATGAAGTAATTTGATTGAGACACTAGGCCATGGGAGACACTTCTCACCAGGATCACCTCAGAAGGCCTGGCCAGATAGCATCCTCCCATCACTTCCTCAGGCTGGTGCCTCGTGGCCCCTCGTGGGCTGTGTGTGCCTGCTCAAGGTCTGCCTGTGTGTGATCTGGAGTGAGCAGAGCTTCACGCTGGAGCGTGTCCTCCTCTGGACGTTCTCTCTGTAAACTAAACCCCACGTATCTCCCAATCTGGAGGGTCTGCCACCTAGAGATGAGGACATGCAACTTTTTAATAGCTGGGAAAGTTTACAAAGTGCCTTCCTGTACTTTGGTTTCCACTCCTGTTTCTAGGTAAGGAGTCTGGAGAGCAGAAAAGTTGAGTTCTGCTACCTTTCAGTAGTAGTGGCATTACAGGGTTGCCTCATTTGTGAAAAGGGAAACTGGGGGCTCACAATCCCAAACACCCAGATAAAAATCAGCTGTCGGTCACGTGGATGTCTCATCAGCCACAGGAATGTGTCTGAATAATTGGGAACCTGCAAGTGCTTATGGTGGAGATAGCCTGTGACCGTTTCCTGAAAAGTGCCTCCGACCTGGGAGAATCTATGATGCTACAGGATGTGATGACAGGGATTCTGGGCTCCTTGTGTCCAGAGAAGAAGGTGTTTAAAAAACAAAAGAGCTAGATTCACAAATAGCACTGTACCAGGATGGTAGGGTCGCCGGAAAGCAGGCCTCTTTTAAGAACTGAATGTCCTCGGTTTGACGATTTGCAGAGCTAAGTTTAGAACACAAGGTGCTTCAGGTAGAAGCCTGTTATACTAAGCCTGAATCTTGTGACATCAGGATTGTTACGCCTGTGTGTCACTCTGGGCTGTTTACTTGCCATTTGCTTTATGAGAACATAAATGGAACCAAGAAGATGAATACTGTCTTTTCCTCTTCAGGTGGATAAAATGTAAAATTCCCCTCTCCTCTCTTTGATACATGGTGTTTAAAATGTGCTGATAATTGGGGGGTTTCCTATTGGGCTTCTGGAGAAGAGTGCTCTACCACCTTTGACCAGGTGGGGGCTCTGCTCAGCCACATTACTGAGCCCAGCTTTGCAAATCCTCTGAGATAGGATTAATTTCAAGGGCTTCAGCCATGCTATGGGCATTATGCTGCAAGATCTGAACAAAGCTGACGCATAGTCACCTCTAGTGAGGATTGATTTGTGTTCTTTGAAAAATGTCAGGATTTATATTCAGTCCCCAGCCCTCACTGAAGTCTCAGGCCTAAGGAACACTTTTCCCTGAACTTAATATTGTTTACTACTGAGGCCTTATAGGGTTCAGTCTTCAATAGAGTTAGTTGTTCCTAGGGAGAGCTGGACCAAGGTCTTTGGAGAGGTACTTCCAGGCTGTTTATTTGCCAGAGTCCCTTTTATCTTAGTTGCTTGCCTAGCAGACTAGTAGAAAGCAGAAGCAAAAAACATTAGTCCTAAAAAATAATAATAGCCAAAACATTCATTGAGCACATCCTGTGCCAGGTACTACTGTTTTAAACACTTTATCAGGGGCACCTGGGTGGCTCAGTCGGTTAAGCATCTGACTTCGGTTCAGGTCATGATCTCACGGTTCGTGGGTTCGAGCCCTGCATTGGGCTCCACACTGACGCTGCAGAGCCTGCTTGGGATTCTCTTCCTCTTCCTCTCTCTCAAAATAAACAAACTTAAAAAACATAAATACTTAATAAAATGAACTAATTTGATTCTTACAAATCCTTATGAGATAGTGCTATTATTCCTATTTTACATATAGGAAAACCTACCACCTAAGAGAGTAGAGATCTGCTGGCACACCACCACCAAAGAACACAACTTGGATCTGAACTCAGGAGGTCAGAGACCAGCGTCCACACCCTGAACTCCCATGCTGTACTGCCTCACTGAGCCCATGTGTGCTGTACGTGTGTGTGTGTGTGTGTGTGTGTGTGTGTAAATTCCTCTGTCACAGGACCCAAACATTAGACATCATTTTAAAAACAGGTAACTACTTAAATTTCTAAAAGGTGGCACTTACAATTTCTGCACACATTGAACAGTAGCTGAGCTGTTGAGATTTCTTGAAAACTGGCCTCAGAGCTCGTTGTTTGAAACATTTGTCACAGGAGCCAAATACGTTAACTAGAAAGGTCTGATCACACATTTTTTTTTTTTTTGCCCAAAATGAAGCTGAAAAAGAGAGAGAAAGAGAGAAAGGGACATATGTGCATGAGAAAAGCCAACAGAAACAGCTTTTTAAAACCTCATCTTCCTTTTATCATGATGGTTGCTCAGACTTCTACATGTGGGATGAAGTATATGCAGTTAATGTATAACCTTTGATTTATTACAACATGCTGGGTCAACACCAACTCGTTTATTTAATCAGGAAGAAAGCATTAGACAATAGGTTTTCTGGGGTTACCATTTAACTGGCTCTTTTGGCAGCTTCAGACATGGATGCAATTAATCTTTGCAGCACAATATTAATCCTGTGGGGCTTTGCAGTGGAAAGCATTGTTGTAATGGATACTATAATTTAAAACTTAAAAAAATTCTGCCTCTAAGGTACACTTTTGGAATAAAGAATCAGAAAATGGTAGAGCCTGATCTCAACCAATACTGTAAGGCTGAGTAAACGCAGTATTGGTTCTCTGCAAGGGACACATCCCACTTATTAAATATTTGACAGCCACAGACCCAGGGTCCCTGTCTGTCCATCAAGAGGTCAACAGACAGGCCCAGGCCACTGGAGGGAGAGCAAACTTACGGAAGCAAAACCATCTGGTGGCTAAGGGTGCTGGCTCTGGCTGACCAGATCCTGGCCCCACTACTTAGGCAAGTTACTTTGAGCTCTCTGGATCTTTGCTAATCGATCACATGGGGATCTTAACATGTATTGTCACAGGGTCATCAGGGGATTTAGAAGAGACAGTTCATGAAGCTTAGCTCAAGGCTGGAATACCGTGAATGCTCCTTGGATGTTAAGTTGCCCTGTGAGTGCCTACAGTAGCAGCAAAAGCAGCATAGCAGTGGGAAGGGGGTGGGGGTGGGGAGGCTAGAGATGTGGAAAAGCAGAGGTGAGCCTAAGGCCACATTTCAGGCAGAACACAATGAAGGCCTTACTTGAAACAATGGTGTGGGATGTATGTGGACCACACTTAGGAAGAAGGAGCCAGACTTGGCGACATGTGGGGACAAGGAGGGGGAGATGTCTACAATGCCTCTTAGGTTTCTGTTGGGGAAGCTAGGTGTTGCAGTGCCACTGCTGGAAATGAGGACAAGAGGGTAAGAGGGGGAGGGAGCAGCCATCACGGTGGAGCCGATTTAATAGGTGTTCCAAAGAGTGGGACACATCAAGATTCAAAGAAATAACCCCCTGAATATAAAGATATTTGGGGGGTACTGGTCTGAACATTTCAAAGAGCCAAATTTGAGAAGAATGTATTTATGGGGCAGGTGGCAGCGGGGACACTTCTAAGGCGGGATGTCTATCATGCAGAGGTCACCATGGGGCTGGAGAAATTGGGTTGAACTCTCCCACAGCAAAGGGGCAGCTGATAGTAGTTCTGGAGATCTCTAAGTAACAGAGTAGTGGACAGTCCTTTAAGGATGAAAGATCAGAAGGGAACCAGCTACTGACCACCATGGAGTGCTTGGCCCTGACTGCTCACAGCCACCCCAGGAAGGAAGCAGACATCTGTGTTACAGCTGAGGAAGTGCCGGGGGATTAACCATGTTCAAGGTCAGTGGTGGAGCCTGAATCTGTGTGCAGTGGGACTCCGCAACACTTACCGTGGAACCGGCACAATCAGTCTGCTCTGCCTTTTCATAAAACACTCAAGGGCCTGCCCACTGGAGCCTGGCCTTTGGCGAGGACCCGGTAATGTTGCCTCCCACTGCCCACACCTGCCAGTCACTAGATCATGCTGAGGACTCCAAGTAATAGCATTAGGAAGGTGAGCCATGGGTTTTTCAGCAAGGCAGCAACGTCATTCAAGTGGATTATTCTAGCATTTGTGCTTCCAAAAGTAGGTCAGAGAGAGAATGTACAACAGGGGAATCAACTAGGTTAGGAAACTGTTATCGTGTTCTGGGAAAGAGGAAACAAGCTCTGGATGGAGTAGCAACTGTGAAAATGGAAGGAGAGAAGAAACCTGAGGGACCGAGTGGAGAAGGAATACAAGCATGGCTAGGCGTTATGGGAAGGCAAGAGAAAGGGAAGGAGGAAAAAAATGCCACTATTCCAAATCTGGAAGGAGACACTGAATTTTAAACTTTATCAAATGATAAGAGCTGTACATGTTTGTTAGAAATAATTGGAAACAGAAGGACATGAAGAGGGACAATCACCTGCATGCCCTATACTAATGAAGTGACTGCTGTTAACATTTTGTGTCTTCTTCTAGTGTCTTCATAAGCATACATTTATACTCTAAAAAAATTGGAACTGTATGCCATGTATAATTTTGAACTGTAGTTTTTTTGCTTCATAGTGCTATTGCATATTCTTGGAAAACACCATTTTCTAAAGGAGACCACCAGTTTTGAGACATACCAACCTTAAATCGCTTCACACAGCTAGCATTTTAGATCTGGTTATTAAGCAGGCAAGCAACAAACTAAATTAGAAATATTACAGTATTTAAAACTATAAATATTATACATGGGCATTGTAGTGTCAGGAAAAATCAAAAAGGTATAAGGAGGAAAATAATCATCTACAATCCCACTGCCCAGAGAGACTCCTGTCCACATTTTGGCATATACAAGAATAGATTTTATAGTTTTAATATTTTTATACACTGGTGTTTTTCACTTAGCATCTATATCATGACTAAATTTATTCTCAGTGCATTCTACCATACTTATGGTCAATAATCCTTTTTATGGTGAGGGAACTTTTCCCATCTAGGACAAGTGTCTCAGTGAACATTTTGACAAGAAAAATATAAAAATGTCCCATCTTAACAAGCCTTGGGCACCTGGGTGGCTCAGTCGGTTGAACGTCCGACTTTGGCTCAGGTCATGATCTCGTAGTTCACAAGTTCAAGCCTCGCATTGGACTCTGTGCTGACAACTCAGAGCCTGGAGCCTGCTTCAGATTCTGTGTTTCCATCTCTCTCTGCCCCTCCCCTGCTCATGCTCTGTCTCTTTCTCTCTCAAAAATAAATAAATGGATAAATAAGTAAAAACATTAAAAAAATAAAGAAACAAAAAAACAAGAAAACAAGCCTTGACATGAAGTTGTTCTGCGGTTGTCCATAGAACTCAAACCTTCCCCTAATCCCACGCCAAGCACAAAATGTCCTTCCAATCTTTCACCTAAATATGTAATTTGAAAATTACTGAACAACCCATCACCCTATATTTATTTTTAAGAGTACAGGCCAAAGATAGAAAGTCAGAAGTGAAAGTCCCTATAACCTGCTCTGCGTTTTTTCCCCCTTATTTAGATTTGGCGCATATTCTTCCAGACTCTTCTGACACCATAGGTAAAGCTTTGTGAGTTATACAAATAAGGCTGTTAGCTATTTGCCTTCTTCACCTCATTTATTGTCAGTACTTACAGATCTGTTTTGTGATAACAGCTTTGGTATTACTCTATACTATGTCCTGTCATAATTTATTAAACCAACCTATTATTGCATATGTAGGGTATCTCCAGTTTTTACTTATAAAAGTAAAATGGGCAAAACAACTCCCCCTCCACCCCACCCTGCTTTGCTGGTGGAATGTAAACTAGTGCAGCTGCTGTGGAAAACGGTTTGGCAGTTCCTCTGAAAGCTGAACAGAGTTGTCACCATATGACCCAGCAAATCCACTCCCAGGTATATGCCCCTGAAAACTGAAAACACATGTTCACATAAAAACTCATACATGAATGTTTGTAGTAGCATTTAAGCCCAAAGTGTCAACAACTCAAACCCATCAACAAATGGGTTTGTTGATCAACAAACAAACAATATATGGTATACCCATATAGTAGAATGTTATTTGGCAATAAAAAAGAATGAAATCAGGGGCGCGTGGGTGGCTCAGTTGGTTGTGTGACTGACTTCGGCTCAGGTCATGATCTTACAGTTTGAGTTTGGGCCCCACATCGGGCTCTGTGCTGACTGCTCAGAGCCTGGAGGCTGCTTCAGATTCTGTGTCTCCCTGTCTCTCTGCTCTTGCCTCTGCTCAGGCTCTGTCTCTGTCTCTCTCAAAAATAAACATCAAAAAATTAAAGAATGAAATTCTGTTACAGGCTGCAACATGGATGAATCTTGAAAACATGCTAAGTGAAATAAGCCAGACACAAAAGGCCACTTACTGTGACTCCAATTATATGAAATGTCCAGGATAGGCAAATCCATACAGACGGGGAAGGTAGATTAAAGGTTACCAGTAAGTGGGAGGAGGGGAGAATTGGGAGTGACTGCTTAATGTGTAAGGGGTTTCTTGTCTGGGGTGATGGAAATGCTCTGGAATTAGATAATGCACATCCTTGCATATATACTGAGAACCACTGAAATGGATGCTTCACAACGCTCATTTTTGTGTGCGTTATCTCATTAAAATTATTAAAATATTTTTAACGTTTATTCATTTTTGAGAGACAGAGGGAACAGAACCTGAGTGGGGGAAGGGCAGAGAGAGAGGGAGACAGAATCTGAAGCAGGCTCCGGGCTCTGAACTCTCAGCACAGAGCCCACGCAGGGCTCAAACTCACTGACCACAAGATCATGACCTGAACCAAAGTTGGACACTCAACAGACTGAGCCACCCAGGGGGCCCCAAGATTATTATTTTTAATACAAGACTTTGAACGGACCCTTCACAAATGCAGACATTCATATGGTCCATAAACATATAAGAGGCGCTCAATATCATTAGTCATCAAAGAAATGCAAATGAAAACCACACTGCTATACCAGTACTTACCCACTGGAATACCTAAAATTCAAAAGACTGACAATTCAAAGCATGGCCAAGGGCGTGGAGAACTGGACCCTTTTCCTTGTTGGTGGGAGTATAAACTGGTACAACCTCTTTGGAAAACTGGTTGGCAGGACCTACTAAAGCTATACATAATCTGTGAGCTGGCAATTCTACTCCTGGATACACACTCATCAGAAACAAATACTTATATCCTCAAAAAAAATGAATAAGGATGTCATAGCAGCTTTATCCAGAATAGCCCCATGGAAAAACCCAAATGTTCATCGACAGACCGGATAAACTGTGATATGAAATAAAGAAGAAGAAAGCTCTGATGCACATGACAGTGTAGATATAGCTCACAGATGTGACTATATAACATTTGTATTAAAACCTTCCTATTCCGGGGCGCCTGGGTGGCGCAGTCGGTTAAGCGTCCGACTTCAGCCAGGTCACGATCTCTCGCTCCGTGAGTTCGAGCCCTGCGTCAGGCTCTGGGCTGATGGCTCGGAGCCTGGAGCCTGTTTCCGATTCTGTGTCTCCCTCTCTCTCTCTGCCCCTCTCCCGTTCATGCTCTGTCTCTCTCTGTCCCAAAAATAAATAAACGTTTAAAAAAAAAAAAACCTTCCTATTCCATAAGCTGCGTTCTGAGGCTTATGTTCACATGCAAAGTGTTACTTGGATCCATTTTTAAAACAGATTATATGACTTTACAGATGCCTAACTTTTTCCCCCTGGATGCCAGCACGAAATATATTTTTAAAACAAAACACCTTCCTAGTATTTCAAAAGAAACACATGCAGGTTGTAGAACAATTAGAACAGGCAGATTAACCCCCCAACCCCCCCTTACCTGTGCTCCTACCTCCCAGAAATCCCACCTAACACCTTGGTGTGTGCACATAGGAACACTTTCGGAGCATGTGGGAGAGCCTGCATATATGTGGGTACATACATACCTTCCAGAGAGTCAACACTTGGAGCGACCAGCTGAGGGGTCAGTCAGACCTGCAGCTCCAAGGGGAAGGTGCCGAAGCAGAAGCCTCACCTCTAATCTCCTTATCTGGGTGTTGAGACTCAGCAGCTTTGTCCCTTCCCACGGGCATGCACTGCCGATGGCATCCTTCTGCTCATCCGCACCAGATGCCCTCAGAACCTCCGATGACCTGTGTCTCGGGCTCAGTTCTCTGCCCTCCGCAGGAGGCAGATGTGGCAGCTTTGCCCCTCACGAATCCATTTCCCGCTCCACTGAGCAACCCTAACATTCCCCTGTGACTGTTACCAGCGCCTCCTGCCTTCTCAGTCCTCAGCCCACCAGCACGTCTTCATTTTGGCTATCCTTCCCACCTTCAGCTTTGTGGGACTGAGCAGGATGTGGGATGAGTGCCCCTCTCCCCTCTCCATGCATAAAGTTTTCAGCCTCTGAAGGTCCACGTGTCTTGTTCCCAAACAAGATCTACTCCTGCTCAAGGCTGACCAGCCTCTCCCCTCCAATCCTGCTGCCTCTAATAGGACCTTGCTCCTGCAGCCCTGTCCCATCTCACCAGCATCAAGATGAGCAGTGGAACGAGTAAGATGTGGACAAGCTCTCCAGGAGCTCACAGGGTAGCAAAGGAGATGGGCAATGTTACTGGCTTCTATAGCCCAGGGCGAGTGGTGTAAAGCAGGCAAGAACCCTGACTTGGGGGAACCGAAAAGGAAGGGTGATGGGCTCCTGTGGCCTAGGGAAGATGGGGAGAGGAGAAGGGGCATGGAGAAGGTCACAAGTGCACATCAGAAACCCACTCACGTCTCTGCCAAGTGGCCCCTCCTCTCACTGTCTGGGAGCCCACAGAGGCACAGCCTGAGGCAGGACTTATGGCATATTTACTTCCCTTCTAAAAACATTTATATACTTTTTAAAAAAGTTATTTTTTTTTAACGTTTATTATTTTTGGGACAGAGAGAGACAGAGCATGAACGGGGGAGGGGCAGAGAGAGAGGGAGACACAGAATCGGAAACAGGCTCCAGGCTCCGAGCCATCAGCCCAGAGCCTGACGCGGGGCTCGAACTCACGGAGCGCGAGATCGTGACCTGGCTGAAGTCGGACGCCCAACCGACTGCGCCACCCAGGCACCCCTAAAAAAGTTATTTTGAGAGAGAGACAGAGAGAGAGAGAAACCCAAGCAGGCTCCACCTTGTCACCAAGTCCTACATGGGGCTCCAACCCACAAACTGTGAGATCATGACCTGAGCCTAAACCAAGAGTCGGACACTTAACTGACTGAGCCACCCGGGTATCCCCACTGTTTATACACATTTTATGAAAAATTATGAATCTATAAAGATCCCAGCATCTTTAAGTATACAACCCTTGAAGAAAAGCATAAACCTCATGCACGTAAGACAAATGTAGTCTCCCAGCAATTAAAAAAAACCTGACCCAACTCATTTGGTAATTTATTTTATTGATTAAAATATTTAAAAGTTCTACTTTTTCATTTCTTCATATACAACGTATCTAAAAGAACTAAATCATTTATAATATGAAAAGGCATTGTTACATATTAATAGGGTGATGTTGCTTCATAATCATGTATTATCACTCCTAAGACATAGATCTGTGGGATAGAACCACAGCTCGTGCCTGTGAGTCTGTCAGAGACAGGAGGGCTGGTTGGATTCTTGGAATGGGCCACATGCCACAGGCTAGCAGTGCAACATCACATGCTCTGAAGGAAGGAATGAAAACGTCTGGGGGGACAAGGGATGGTTGGTTTTCATGAAACTTGGGAAATACTGGTTTCTCAACAGGAAGAACTGACATAATTCTTCAGGTTTTTTTTATGGGAAAATTTAAAAACATTTGAATGCTGAAAAGAGAGAGAAAACCAATTAGGTTGCCTTTTAAACTTAGTTTTTAGAGAAGCTGTTGCACGAACGATATTGAACAATGAAAAACATATGGCCAATATGTTGGCAGATAAAACATGAAGAAATGTTCTTTCAGAAGAGGTGGTAAATGCCCTGGCAATTAATTTTAATAATATATTCGTTTTAGGTAGCTATATATATAACACTTCACATGATTCATTTCAGACTGAATATTTGCCTAAAAACTAGAGGGCTCTTAAATAATAAATATTTTTTCATGCAGGAGCATTTTTAGTGACAGTGAACCCCACCCCTCCCACCCTGGGCAGGAGGCATGGGGTGAGAGGAATTTCGACAGGGCATTGTGGCCAAATGGGATTATTTCCTGGAAGACTCAGCCCTGGAACCCACTCACGGCTTCATAAATGTACCTGGGCTTCACATGAACATTAGTAAACTTAGGGGGCACTGTGTCCCCAGATCATACTCCCTTTGAGGGGAGCCCTGTCACAAAACAGATCTAGACAAGAGGCACCTGGAAGAAAACATGGGCCTTCGAGGAATTCCAGTAAAAGCTGGCTGTGATTCAGAAGGTAGACATGGCCTTTCCAACTGCAGCTGGTGTGTGTTAACTCTTACAAAATGACAGTGGCAGCACCATCACGGGGAACAAGAGAAGATGTGGCCCATCTTGGAGAATTCTTCTTTGCTTCTTTACATCACATTCCAAAGCATTTCCAGTTCCAATTAACAACCACATCCCTCATATTTGACCTTCATTTGGCTTCTGAGGGAAACATACATTTCCTCTCCTTTCTCCTGCTATAATCTATTGAGAAAACCTAGCTTAAAACTGCTGGGGATCTGGATCATTTCCAGAGCATGTGGAGAGGGGGTAAAAGGAAAGGTAACTTGAAAGAGATATTTTGTATCCAACATCAGCTGTGATGAATCCTCCCGGCTATTTAGGAGAGCCTGAAATAAGAACCAGAAGAAAAATGAATAAGGAAACCAGTGCATTCTGCTTTATGACTATTTAGAAGTCTAGAGTAAGGAAAACACAACTCCAGCTTCACTGAAAAGCTCCTTTCAAAATCATGTGAGAGAATACACAAAGGACTATTTTAACAACACAATACCATGGTGACATGGTCTATGCAGGATTTCCAGTCGCTCTCATGAATATTTACTTAAGTGCTCTGTTTCACCTCAGAAGTTAATTTCCCACAGGATGGAATGACTGTAAATGGATCTGTTTTCTATTCTTATCCACCCTTGTGGCATAATTCTAAGCCCAAACATGAATAGATCTCACAGATTAAGTCTTATAGCACTTATCCTTCTTTGTAGTTCAGTAGTTTGTGAACTTTTTGCCTAAAGACCCCTTTAAATTCTTTTTATTTTTAAGTTTACTTTTGGGGCATCTGGGTGGCTCAGTTGGTTAAGCGGCCGACTTTGGCTCAGGTCATGATCTCGCAGTTCATGGGTTTGAGCCCTGCATCGGGCTCTGTGCTGACAGCTCAGAGCCTGGAGCCTGCTTCGGATTCTGTATCTCCCTCTCTTTCTGCCCCTCCCTGTCCTGCTCTCTCTCTCTCAAAATTAAATAAACATTATAAATTAAAAAAAAAATAAAGTGTACTTTTATTATTATTATTATTATTATTATTATTATTATTATTATTATTTTAAGTAGCCTACATGGCCAGCATGGAGCCCAATATGGGGCTTGAACTCATGACCCTGAGATCAAGACATGAACTGAGATCAAGAGTCGAACACTTAACTGACTGTGCCACCCAGGTGCCCCAAGACCCCTTATACCCTTTAAAGATTATTGAGGACCCTAAAGAGCTTTGGGTATGTAGGTATAGCTATTGATATTTACCATATTAGTAATTAAAATACTTCAAAATATTAAATCATTAAAATAAAAAGAACAAACCCAATGCATGTAAACATGTATTGAAAAATAACTATTTTTGAAAACAAAAAAATTTAGTAGGATGCAGTATTGTTTTATATTTTTGTAAATCTTTTTAATGCCTGACATAATATGACAGGTGGAAACTTGTATCCACTTCTACCTTAAATCCATAGTGACATGTTATTTTGGTTGAAGTCTATAAGGAAAAGTGTGCCTCACACACACATATTTAGAAAAAAGAAGACTTTGCAGACTCACTGAAAGGGTCTCCAGAATGCCCAGAATCCTTGAACTAAACTGAGAACTGATGTGCTAGTTGATTGGGGAAGAAACTTTAGGGATTTAAATAAGAAAAAAAATGGGTATACAAGACTCTGTTTCCATTCAGGCTCTGCTCTCTTGCACAGACTGATAAGAAGACTGATAATAAACAAGACATCCTGAAGGAACATAGCAGCTGAGTGGTGATTTTGGTGTTTTCATTCCCTTCCCACTGAGGCTAAAATGGGTTCTGAAAGCGGGGGTATTTGACAGAGAAAATTCCTGCTGCTTTTGCTAAGTGCCTTTCATTTGCATGTTTGGTAAATGTGCTTTAATCTTAGATTTCTATAACCGTAATTCAATATCAATTTCTTTTTTTTTTTTTATTTTAGAGAAAGAAAGAGTGCAAGTAGGGGAGAGGGGTGTAGGGAGAGAGAGAGGGATAATCTTAAGCAGACCCCACTCAGTACAGAGCCCAAAGCGGGGCTCCATGCCATGACCCAGGTATCATGACCAGAGCCGAAATCAAGAGTCAGATGCCCAACCAACTGAGCCACCCAGGCACTCCTCAATATCAATTTCTTATACTGAAAATTAAAAGGCACATCCCTTGGAGAAACGGGAACCCTCTTACACTGTTGGTGGGAATGCAAACTGGTTGCAGCCACTCTGGAAGACAGTGTGGAGGTTCCTCAAAAAATTAAAAATAGATCTACCCTATGACCCAGCAATAGCACTGCTAGGAATTTACCCAAGGGATACAGGAGTGCTGATGCATAGGGGCACTTGTACCCCAATGTTCATAGCAGCACTTTCAACAATAGCCAAATTATGGAAAGGGCCTAAATGTCCATCAACTGACGAATGGATAAAGAAATTGTGAAAAGAGAGGTTAGAGTGGGAGAGAGCCAAAGCATAAGAGACTATTAAAAACTGAGAACAAACTGAGGGCTGATGGGGGGGTGGGAGGGAGGGGAGGGTGGTGATGGGTATTGAAGAGGGCATCTTTTGGGATGAGCACTGTGTGTTGTATGGTAACCAATTTGACAATAAATTTTATATATTAAAAAAAAAGAAAAAAAGAAACCAAAAAAAAAAAAA